TYCYTTTTTTTTTGGTTCATTTTCTCTTGGTATTACCCATGTCCAAATCTTAGTCTATGCATAATGTACATATAATTGACATACGAACCCTTTTCCACGCGGCTTACCTTGTCGATATAGAAATCCACCTCTGATGAGGACTGCAACTCCCCATCAAGAGCATCTTTACCTGAGGTCCACACTAGATTTCTYTGCTTATGCTGGGAAAAATGACATCAAAACTGAGCACTGTTTTCTGTTRCTGGTTACAGTAGACGTCGTATACACTTATTTCAGTCAMCTGGAAAGCTATAAAGCTGAGGCCGACAAGGATTATGGGTAGATTCATTTTACACGTTCAACCGCTTGATAACTGTTCATGGACTTGCGAATCTTTTACCGGTTACAGTCTCGCCTCTTCTGAACATCATCGAGCTGCAGTTGGTATTAAGAAAGCTTTGTATATATATGCTTTTTTGATATGAAAGGTCTCCCATGATGCTCAGTGATCTCAGCTTTCTAGGTTTTTGGTGACTAACTTTATTGAAATAAGTGTATCAAATTGGGCATCAAATTTTAATATCCTTATGGGTGGCATGGGTGGCGTAGTGGTCCGGGTTCGAGCCCTGACTCAGACTGGATCATATGTGTGAGTTGAGTATTTGAAGTTTTGTTCTCTCCCTTGCCACGAGGGTTTTCTCTGGATTCTCCCTCTGTAAAAATCAACATGTGAGTCGAGTTGAGTGTTGTATGTTATAAATATAGAATGTAGTGGTAGTGCGTGTGGAGGGAACCTCACGGAAGAGCCCCGTATGGAGAGTGGTGGTTATGAAATATAAGTATCCTCTTTCACGYRTATATGTCATCTTACCTTATAGCATAAAAGTTGGCTACGAAATGCATCCTCGTCCTACATAAAAAATACACCAGAAATGTTTGACACCATACAGACCTGATAAAACCCGATTTGCGAACAGCTTCAAAAACTCAGGAAAAATTCACAAAACTTAAGTCGAATTATAAAATGACCACACACGTCGCGAACATGGATTTTTATGCTTAGATAGACGTTTGTACATAAATGACATGCGCAGTGAGGTTTATACGTCAGTGACATGCGCAGTGATTCCAARCAAGGCTCCAACAAGTTGAAGACAGTACTGTATGCCAAAATCAAGACAGGGGTGCTAGTGGACAAAACTTTGTGGGTCGTCGATGATTTTACGTAATACTAACCCTGATGAGTGTTTGTCTTAATCTAAATTTGGAAGGAACTTTATCTCATATAAAGTTGTCCTCATTAGTATTCTTTAGTGCCACTACGATCAAACTTCTGGCTTGCTTTTTTTTGCATGAATCAAAAGACCTTTTATAGTGAAGTGAAATGCCAGCCTCTTTTTTCAAATATMTTTTTTCCTTCATATAAGTTTAAGATTACTGAAGACATGGCGTGCATTGGATCCAAGGCTTATGAATTATTCATGAGTTTTCGAAATATATTTAAAGTGCCTATACCACCTAACTTAATATTTTCAGTATTGATTCTACATGAAGTGAATGGTAAAAAAAATTCATATTTGAAAAGTTTTGTATATTTAATCATTGCTATAATGACATCACATTCATTAGCATATTGGAAGTATAAACCTTGATGTCTTCAAGATATTCACTTTATTTAGAATCGATACTGAAGATATTGAGTTAGGTGGTAAAGGCACTTTAAGGAATATAAACTGTACTGTGATATAAATATGCTGGAAGCTTTTGAGCACAAGAGATCCAAGCTTAGGAGCATGTGGCGTAGCCGAGTGTTCCTCTTGCTTCTCGAGTGCTCTGCAGCTCCCAGAGTGTTTAHATCACAATACAGAAACATTTATCTCTGCAAGCGGCACAAATCGGCACAACCTGTAGGTGAATATAGCAGCATAAGACGTAAATTATGACCAATGAGCGTGCCGCATTTATTATTTTCACTTGTGTAAAAATACTAAGTATAAATATTTTATGATAAACATAGATGAATATGAACGAATGAATGAGTGAGTGAGTGAGTGAGTGAGTGAGTGAGTGAGTGAGTGAGTGAATGAATGAAGCCCCAGACTAGGTGCTTAAATTTTAGAAGGCTGGGGGCTTGCATACATATCAAACACCTTAACCTATCTTACCATGTCAAGAAAGGCAGCTAGTTTAGAGATAGGCAAGGTAGTATACAGCTTGAGGTAGCTAACGAGACAGAAAATAGTATGAATATTATGATTTCAAAACTGGATATGACAAACACATGGGGCCCCAAGTTCTTCCCCAAGACAATCTTTCTCCTTGTCATAGTTACCAAAATAAATAGATTAATATTATTTTCACCTATTACAAAGATTCCAAACTGCAGCACAATAACTACAACTACAGCAGAGTATGCACAAGTAATGCCAAATGTACTTTTAAGAGGGGGAGGCAAATTGTGCAATGGCGTAATGTTCAACCATTTCTGGCCATGGGCCATTCCCTTGAAAAGAAGTTTCTTTGTTGRAGTGACWTGTGGTTTGAMATGGRAAAGCATTATGCCCAAGTGGATTTAATAATATATTGGGTTACATTTGCGTTAAATAGAYACCTTCTCACAACTGGAATCTTGGACTGCTGAGAAACCTCATTCAAGAATACTTTCAGTTGTAGGTTAAAAGGTTCCTGCAGGAAAAAAAGAATATTTCTAGGTTAAAGATGTTGGYGCACATTCTTTCTACGYATAAATTTAGGCCRCASGGGGTCATCGTGATGGAAKCATTYCAATGTTTKGATGGGCARAATACTCAAGAAAACATCTTCAAACTCTCATATCTCTTTGGTGACCCCCTTTTTATTTTATATATATCAAAGATGTGCATTCACTCAGTTTATTAAAAAAATGACAACTTAATTTGTCACGCTGAAACACTACATTATCTGCTTCATCTCAACCAGCGYGCGAGAAGGACAAAAACCCTGTTACCCTGTAGCTTGCAATTTTTTCGCCAGAAATACTTTTTGTCTTTATTACTTAATTGACGACTTGTCATATCATGTTGGTCACCATAGGTGCCAAAATGATCGACTTTAAAATCATTTTGCTTGAAGGTTTGCACAGTGAACCCCTATTTTTGGGCTTAATTTTAGTTTTATTTTGTTCTATGGACTGGCAAATCTTTAGAAAATTGACATCATAATTTGGTACAGATAATAATAACAACAACAAAAATGGTTATTCCACAAGGTGGCTCTTAAATGACCAGCACTAACACAATACAAGTAGCCCATCCCATGTTCTCCCATTAGTCATATACAAAAAAGCATAGCTTTTACGACATCTCATTTGCAGTTTGATATTTCAAATGTTTATATCTCTGAAAAGAAAATTCAATTTTTCATTGCTCAATTGATATCATCTTGAATACCAAGTAGTACGCTTGTGGTCGAGTGTCCATTTTGATCATTTCAAAAATTTCGAAAATGTTAATTATCATAAAAACGTTTAGTCGACAAAAAATAAACCTCCTCTATCTGCTCGGGTGTATCGTTTTCACATTTCTGACCATATGTGATTTCCTTGAAAATAAGATTCTTTGTTTGAGGTGTGTCCATATTCATTGGTCTTCTCATGTGCAACCAAGCTCAACCTTTAAACAAAGAAATGATCCTCTAGGGAATGACAAGTGGTCTGAAATTGGAAAACATTATGCCCGAGCTGAGTAGCAACAGTAGTAGTAACAAGCTTACCACTAAAAATCTAAAATCTAAATATAACTAAACTTACCCTATTGTAGTTGGCTGGTGCATCAAAGTTAGGAGGAACTGGTGACACAAACTTGGGACAAGCATAAGAGAAGCATTCTTCGAACATCTGTAAATCACTACAACACAATAAAGTTTATTTGAAAAATAAACTATAATCATTTTTATATTACTAGTTAGATACTAAAAAACATTTGATGGATTAGACAGCCAGCCAGCCAAAATAACCTTTTTAACCATGCTACTATATAAAATAAAGCCGTTCCATGCGTGCATATGAAAAAATCTCTTTAAGAGTCTAGTCGTTCTAGCRCTTTGGCACTAATTGGGGACACTTTTCACTCGCATTATACACCACTACATTCATATGGAAATCTTAATTATGCTATAATAAAAATAGTACAATAACTTAAAGTGCACCTAACCGCYGATACAATGCTTTCAGTATTGATTCTACATRAAGTGAATGGTTGAATGGTGAAATATTTCTTCATTTGAATGTTGCATCTTTAAGTTATGAAGGTTTATACTTCCATTACGTTGCTGGCTGTGACGTCACCCCAGGCTTTTGGGTGTATTTGTTTTAATTTTTAATACTAAACACTAGCCATTGTGAGACGTCAGATTTACAATAAATGTCGTGGAAACCTTGAGTATAATAACGATTCTTTATAAAAACTTTTTGTATGAACCAGTCAAAATTTGTATATTTAATAAAGCCTGTTTGTACAGTTTGGAAAAGTGCTTTTCACAGGTATGGAAGGCTAGTCAGTCCAGAACAATATTAATTCAAATTGGTCCCCATATTTCGATTCTGTGTATACAATAAGTTTAACCTTAATTATTAGGTGAAAGGTATTTAACAAATAGACATAGATGCTATTACTAAAGAATTATAAAGTAGTAATAGATGGTKACCCTGACATCTGTGCAGATAGATATATAGATAGACAGAAAGACAGGCAGACACATAGATAAATAAAATGTAGGACAAGAGTACAATTAAAGTCCTCAGTTCCTTTGTTAAAGATTTACTTCTTACCCTTTCTGYAGTTTCTGCAGTTTCTCACCACATTTTTCACGTAGTTGAGCACTAACATTTTCATCCAGTCTCTGTTGTGACAAAACCATCATCAAAATCAGYACAACTAGCCAACTCCTTCCTTATGTTTGGGCCCTCAGACCAAAACTTTACTATATTTGGTTTGCCTATAACCAAACCATTTCATAAGCCGCTAATACCTAATAATTAATACATAATTACCTATTACTTGTTTAAAAAAATTAGCAATTACAGATATCTCTTTCATAAGCGACCACCTTTGAGTTAAGATGAGRATATGTAGACCGCATAGCACTTATGAAATACATGAAGATATAGAAATATAGATAAGTTATAGTGCTTGGGAATGAGGTTAATCCGGGCGAAAGCCCTTGGAATTAAATTTGGAAAAATTAATTTCCGACCTAGCTGGGAATTGAACCCACGACCTTCGGAATTGTACTACCGATGCTCTACCAGCTGAGCTAGAGGTCAGACTGAGAGCAGGCTGGGGTGAAATAGATGTTAGGTAGCGGTAATTGTGATGCAAAGATGAGAATATGTGGACCTTTGAGTTAGGTCAGTTCRTCATTTACTGTAATTCCTCATTACAAATTCAAGAAGGTTACTGCGATTTTCAAAATATTCTGCAAACTCAGAAATTTCCAACTCCTTGTTGTAAAATTGTTATTTACTGTCACCATGCAGTCAAAAACATAAAAAGTACCAACTTCTTAATTTTGATTGACAGCAGTGAAAAAGCAAATTTCAGCGTGCAGGTAGTAACTACCGATTGAGGGAGCAATTATAGAATAACCCGCAATAATATGCAGTTGTCGGAACTTTTTTATGTTGGTTTGTCGGTTCTCTTCTGTGTTCCGAGAGTTTTTCTCTGGGTTCTCCAGGTT